GGTGGGCTTCCCGGGGCGCAAACACCCGCGGGGGCCGGGTTAGTTTCCCTCTCTCCCTTTGGCACGGGGCTCATTTTAATCCTCCCCGTTCAGGCTCACGGACAGGAGAGTGTCGCTGTCTCTCTCCGAATTGCCCCTTTCTCAAAATCTGTCCGGAAATGGGGGTTGTGTGGATGTCTCACGTCTCCTGCCGCCCAAGGACGAGGTCTGTGTCCCATGGGAAGGCGGTGGGGACACCCTCCGGTCCGAGGAGCACTGCTCGCCTGGCTGGCTAGGACAGCCCAGGGGGATGAGGAGGGGGTTTTGTATGGCTACGTTGTTTTAAAGAAAAACAAAACAAACACCAAACCACGCGGATGTTTAAAAACCGAAAAACTGGCTTTACTTAACATTAGGCTAGACGAGGTTTTATAGTTGCCTGTCAGTTTCTACCTGCGTACGTTTCTTGCAGATTAATTCAATCTCTCTGTAGATGTGTTGTTCAGATGATTCATACCAGAACTGCGAAGTTGTAATGATTACATTTTTAAACTATCAAATCCAATATTATAATTTCTTCCTTCCCTGCATTGGATATAAAGTTAAAGACTTCATTTTAAAGCAAGAAAATAAGAAAAATAAAATAAAATAAAATATGTTAAATTGCATTTTGCCAAACTTAAATTTACTCTAAAATCTTTTTTCAAAAAATGTGAATTATTTTTCATGTTTCTTTCAGGTTCGTTCATTTTCCAAAACTGTACTGTAGCTTTCTCTTTTCGGGAGTGTTGACCTTTTCCTCATAATTAATTAAATAACAATTTTATATCTAAATTCAGACCTACTTCTTCTGCTCTTTATTCCTCAGGATGAAGTGGCTCATACGCTTACAGAAAGCAGAGTATTGAAAAATACCAGACACCCTTTTTTAACAGTAAGTATTAAGAATTAGTTTTAAGTACATTAGCAAGTAATTTTCAACATGATGGGTATTCCATTATGAACATAATTTACAAACAAATTTTGAAGTCTTTCTCATGATGATCTGTAAACAAGCAGTAGCTATCTGGTGCTTATGATATCCTTTATGAGAATATGTATTTAAGAGTTCAAAAATAAAGTTTCTAATAATTTTGTAAAGTTTAACGGTGCTGAAAACAAATTTAATTGTAGAATGTAACTGTTGTGCAATTTTTGTGATTTTTTGTATATGAACACTTTTAAAATAAAAGTTACTGATTTCACACAGTGTCAAGTAATTTTTAGCAAGAAAACTTAATTAAGAATTCAATTAAATTATAAAAATAACTATTTGTTCAATGTAAGTAGCCCATCGAGCAAAAAACTCAAATCCCACTACTTCAATGTCTTTGTCTTCGTATGGTTAATATTTAATAGAAGGAAAATACTGAAAAGAAGATGAAAATTTTGAGATTCATGACAAATTACGATTAATAGTTTTAATTTTACAACTGACTTTCTTCTGTAGAAGTAATTCTGATTCCTCTCCTTTAAGAATATATTAGAAAATCTTTTCATTGATTTCAAAAGATAATTAACATGTTGTATTTTAAGGTAGGGAAAAATTATTTTCTTTTTTGTATTAAAATATCAAAGCATAACATGGAAGCTTTCCTATTTAGAAAATCATAAACAAACCCTTTAGAAAGCAGAGGATTGTATTTACATTGCTTGGACAAAATATTCTTGGAAATTCAGTCAAGAGAAATGACGTCCCCCAAAGTTTCTTAAATTAGAGTGTAAAGGTAAGCAGGAGTAGGTGTAATTCCAATCAAATCATGCAACAATGTCACTGCAGTTGTATCTTTATATCTTTCTGATATTATTAAACAAATATTTTAAGGAGACATGCAGTATTTAAGTCACACGAGTCTCCTTACGATTTTATTACGTGTAGTTCTACTGCATTTCATTTCTTTTAGGCCAAGCCTGCATCTGTAGATTTTCTTTGGTATTATTTTTCCAAGCAAAATCAAATTAGCATTGATAAGTCAAAAATTTTCGTTACGATAATAACATTTGTTACAATTTTAAAATGATACATAAATAAATATATTCATTAGGCACTCGGTGTTTTTAACATTGCATAGTATGTGAAACTAGAGAGTCCTTGCTTTGGAAATGAAAGCAGGTTGGAGGTTAAGATCCCTTTTAAGATTTTATTTGGGAGAAATTAAAAAGAATATGGTAATCTCTGCCTCCATGGGCATTGTGGAAGTGAACATCATAAAATACGGTAAGTGAGAACAGCTGGTACCATCTATGGCAATAAGAAACGCAGTAGAAAACTCTGTATTTTAGTAACTATTTAGTATTTTGTTGTAATATGCATGGCGTTTTCATCTCAATCGCCACGTGGCAGAGATGAGGGAAGACATGACAGTTTTTGTGTTAATTCACCTCAAGCTCCAGATAGGAAGTTATACTTTTAATTACTCTGAAAGTTCTCACCAAGTCAGAATTGTCTGCTTAAGAGGATAAACTTAAATTTTGTTACAGTTTAAGTGCCAGAAATTGCGTTAATACAAGATGATAATTGGTTTGGTTTTGCTGTTTTCTTTGCAAGTCCTTGAAATATTCCTTCCAGACAAAGGATCGTTTGTGTTTTGTGATGGAGTATGTTAACGGAGGAGAGGTAAGTTTAAAAAAGATGTTCTGCGCTTGTAATGGTAATGCTGTCACTAGGTTACACTTTAAAGGATATAATTTTTCTTGCCTTTTTTGCTTTCTATTATCTTTGAAGGTTTTTAAAAAAAATTTAAAATTGTTTTATTTAAAAAAAATGTAGACATGTTTTATAACTGTGCTGTCAAAAGTAGTTCCTATTCTTAAAAATTAGACTGTTGTATCTTGAAGGATTATTTCATAGTAGAGAAATAATTACAAATAGCTTGCTTATTGGTTTTTTCTTCATACATATTATAGCATCTTCTGGCATGAAACGGTCATAATCTAGTGCAAACAAGCAAAAATTGTGTTGACTAGTCTTGCTTTTGTCCTAATGTGAAATATGCACTCTCTTCTTTGCTATAGCCATTGCAAATACCTTTTACTTTTGTCCCCTTCACTTGCTGTGTACTCTGGGAATTTCAACTTAAGCACTAACCTTCCTACAGTGTCATTAGCCTTTAAGCTATTGCTGTCCTCCAGCTCTTTACTGAAGAACAGAATATCAAAAACTATACTCGCAAATGGAATTAGAGAGAATTGCAATCTAAGAAGAGGGCTTTTACCTACCTTTTAGGTGCTGTTTTCTGTTCAGACTGTATCTCGTTACAACATGAACTAGGGGGTTTTCCTTATTTTGTGTACTGTATGCTGCGTAATAACCTTAAAGGACTAAGTGTTTCCATTACCTTTTTTAATTAGAAAACTGTTTCTTCATTCAGGTGTTGTTGCAGCACGATACCATGTTTTGCATTGTCCTTTTGCTGTGTTCTCCTGCAATAAAACTGTTTTCAACTATAATCCTAATGCTGGAGCACTCCCAGAGTGCCTGCCTTGCTTTTATTGCTCTGGCGATTTCTGGGCCCAGTCTGAGGCCCATTTACATCCTAACTTGTCCATGGCTGTCCTCTACCAGCCATGGCTAAACATAGTGCTATAGGGTTCTCATACGGGAGGACAGCTTGTTTAACTCAGTATGTGTAAACCAGGTTCTGGACATCACAGGCATTGAACCGTTTTGCCTGGTTGAACTAGACACAAAAATCTCTCTCAGCAGTAATGGCATAACAGCGTTCTCTTGGACACTCAGCTGGCTTATTTGACATTGAACTTATGTCACCAATATTAAGTCAATGCTATCTACAATGAGTTTTAAAAGTGATGCCTTATAAACTAGCTAATTCTTCTTCGTTTTCTCAGTGTAAGACCTTATTGCACTTCGAAAGTATGTTTTTAACATCAGCCTATCATTTAGATACTTGTCTTTCTGAAAGATACCTTTCTGTCCTATCTGAACGCAGAGCAGAGCCCACAGAGAATGTTTTCCACTCCTCTCTTATGATTGAGGATACTCTTGACACTGTGTTTTCATCAGGCTTGTATCTTGCATTCCTCTGCATTGGGTGGTGCACCTTTGTGGCAACTGCTGCAAACACCTTGTGTCATGAGGTTTCTTGGTGGCAGCCTGCTTCTGCTTATTGGGATTTGAATGATTGCAACGTACTTTGCCAAGAGTGGGTTGCTTTTTTCCAGGTTATGATGTTCTTGTTTGTCAGTGTTGCTCATGTTCTTTGCTGATGGTTCCCTAATTCGGTGAAGCTAACCATAAATTTTTGCCACAGTGGGAAATAACGGCCTTTCAGAGTAGGCAGTTTTCTTTGGAGAAACTCTCCTGATTTGCTTATGTGCTTCTTTTTGACTAGAGATCTGGAATAGTAAGTTGGGCAAACTGTCCTTTTTAATAGGAAAATCTTTAATCTTACCAAATTTTCCTGTGAGTTTCGGACTTCAGTCACTGTCTGTTAAGAAATACAAAGGACTTCGTATTTGTAAAAATAGCCTTGTCATTAACTCAGAACTACTAAAAGTAAGTTGTACAAAGTTTAGCCACCATTTTAGCCATTTGTAAAGATATCTTCTATATGGTACACAGACTTTTTTCTTTTGCCGTTTCCCTCTACTGTTCTCTTTGTGTTGCAAGGAAGTTTCATTTCCTTACAATGGTTCCACACTGTTGAAGGTGTTGAAAACTCATCTTTTAATTATATCCTTCCAGTGGGAAATTGACTGTAGCAGTACGATGTTGCTTTTGATTCTCTCCAGAGCTGTACTACCTTCAGTGTGTTTCTGTTTAAAATTCCTTTAGATTAAAGATTTCTTTTTAGTTAAACAGTTGTGCCTGAGTCAATTGCTTGGGAATTTTCATGGATTATGTCTGTCAGGAACACATTACCCAAACAGCCCTCCGAATGAAGGAGTTCTTGAAATTTGTATCCGTATTCTTGACTCTCACCTGGGTGAAAGCAGGAAAATGCCACAATTTAGGCATCTGCCCTACTACAGTAATAAAAAGTGTAGTCAGTACTAGGAGTCTTCAGTTCCTCTTCCTATGGTTAGAAAGGAAAACAGTCAAAGAAGGGGTCACTGAATTTCATTCTGGAGGACAAGAAATTGTGTTAAAATGATTCTAAACAAGAATCTTCTATACCTGTTAAAAATCTAATCCATGTTGAATTTAATATCCCTCCAGAATAGTAGCAATTTATCTTTGCCTCACCTTGCCTATGTAACTTCAAATTAGTTAGGCTCAGTTAATAAGGGAACACGTTACAATGAAAATGTAACTGCATCAGTTTTACTGGTCTATGTGGATGCTTTTTCTACAGTGTACAAAGTATTACCGTATCGAATTCTCTTTTGACTTCCTTTTTAAAAAAAAAAAAGCCATTTTCTGTAGCTAAATATATTAAAGCAAAACGTTGGAGGATTTTTTCCAAGCAAATTGTTCAGATGGAAATATTGAATATGTTTTCCTTATACTGACAACTTTTACAGTTAATTTTCTGCTGCTTAAGGGCCCAATCTTGAAATCTTTGTTGTGGGCTGAAAGCTTAACTTTTTCTTTTTTTTAGTGTTGCTGTTGGAGTCTGTGGATGAAACGTTTAGCAGTGTCTATTGATCATAAACTGCGTTGCAGTATAGAGCTAGAAGGATACTTCTAACATTGTGATTACTTCTTGAGACCTTTGTTATACTGAAGGAATTAAAGTGGCATTAAGACATTGAAATTTTATTTTAGAAAAAAAAATTCATGTCTTAGTCGAGATGACCAAATTCCATTATCAAGACTCTGAAATGGCATATTTTATGAGTGTGTGGTAAAAAAGTACATGCAGTATTGCATGATAAACTGTGTTCTCTACTTTGGTTCAAAATATAGAATATTAATGTAAATATTTTAAAATAAGTAAAACTATCGGTACTTACAGATGAACACAGGCCTACTTTAAAGAAGAGAAAATGTACATTTTTGTACATTTTTTGCTGTCCTTGTCCTATCAACATTTTGAAAAAAATGTGTAAGGCTGTGTTGATGATTTTCTTGCTAGTATTGATTTGCCTACTCTTCCTTTTGTAACCCATATAATTTTGAGTACTATGTGATTGCAGTACGTTGGTAGTACATTACAGTGTTCTCCCAACTTCCAGGCCACACAGAATGGTGTAAACTGTGGTATAAAAAATGATATTCCAAGGATGTCTCTTTATTGTTGGGGAATACTTCTGGAGTGTATGTTTCCCATTTTTTATTTACAGTATTTTGCTTTAAAGATTGAAAAGCTTTAGGAATGAAATCTATTACATACATTACTCTGGTGCACTGGTTCAGCTGACTAATAAGTTGATTAACTTCCTTGCTTTGCACTTTCAGGATAATTCCAAATTCCGTACTTTGTAACCAACTTAATTGGTAATTATCTGTGTAATAAAATTAGACTCTAAAATTTGTTCAGATGGTTTCTCCACACCAGAATTCTGAATCTCTGTTCCGCTTGGCTTTTTTTTTTCCACAGCTCTTACTTCAGTTCATTAGGCAAGAGAGAACTAAATGGTTTGTTGTAATTGAACAAGTGCTATTACTGTCTAGAAAAAAATACAGGGGATTTACAACCTACCTAATGAAAAATAACTGAGTATTGTTGTACACTTTGTCGTTTTTATCTCAGTTCTGTCCTGTTTTGTTTTCCTAAACTCTTAAGTAAATGAGAGAATGTTCCTTACTCTAAAATTATGATAGTCCGAGATAAGGATGCTATATTTCTTTGGGTATAGAATGTGCCTAGAAGCAGTATAAAGTCTGAAACAATAAACAAATAATTAAAAATTTAAAGGCTGCTACTGCAAATGCTTTGCAAAAGAGTAAAATCAAAAGTCAAATACAAAATGTGTTTCACTGCAGACCTGAGCAAACCCAATATACAACAGCAAGAGCCAGTCATACAACTTTCAACATGCTAAATAGGTTACTAGCATGTGTAGAAGTTTAACATATCGATTGATACAAGGTTGTGTCTTTTATATATTTGGCATGGTTGGATCTGCAGTTGAATATACATAAAAACAAAAATACATAAAATACATAAAATGTTTGATCTTTGTTTTTATTTGTTAAAATTTTTCCATTAAAATTTTTTATTAGGAAAAAACCCCATGGCAACATTGTTGTTCAGTTTTTAAATAAAGACATACCAGGAAATTTATAGCTCCAATCCTCACTGTAACTATAGCACCCTCATGTATGCCATCAAAAATGTTATGTGCAAAATGGCTTTCTTTGTGCCAAAGCTATTTCTACTGCAATTCCAATGACTTTATAGCACATATTTAATAACTGTAAATCAATAAATAGTGCAAATGCTGGAAGCTTTTTCATAACCTTCCATCAGATTTCTTCTTTTCCTTCTCTGACTTAATAAATCTAATCTTCATGTTCTGACAATTGTAAATAGAGCCTGGTGGCATAATTGTTCCAAAATAGTGAACCAGCTAAATAATTAGCTGAAAATAATTCTGTAATCTCACTGAATTAGATTTTCTATTACAATTTTAAAATTTGCTTTATTATCTTTAGCATATATCTGAGTGTATGAATTAACTTTTAACATACATTTTTATATCTAAATGTACATTCTTCATTCAAAACTAGCATGTATGGTTTGATGAAAACTCTGTTAGGTGCTATAATAATATGAAGAATGCTTAGAAGAATGACTGTAATGTCATATATAATGCTAAAATAAACTGACTTGGGAACTCTCAAGTCTCTTTGGTGAACACAGAACTGTTGCTAGTTGTTTCTAGCTGGTCATTTTACTTTGAAGTTAGTATTTTGAATTAACATCAAGAATATTTTGTTGGAAATAAACTAAAGAAAAAAAATTTTTGTTATGTTAACTTGTCAGATTATCAACTCTCAGATTCCAATTGGGACACTTTTTTTTTACGGAAACTAATACATCTGTTGCTGACAAGTATCCTGAGGTTTTAGAATTTTCTAAGACTTTGCTGCTCAGGTACTGGATTAGTCTCTTTCATACAGAAAATTGCAATAATCCTTTTGCATAGGTATGAATGTAGGGCTAACTGGAGGTTATATTATAAATTTTTGGAATGTGTTTGCTATTTGTACACATTAAAAAGTGATCTGAAAGTTGGCCTTTATTTTGAATTACTTTGAGTCCATCAAAACAAATAAAACTGTTAAAAATGAGTGACATTAGCTCATTATTTATGAAAGAGACCACAAAACAGGCATCAATGCATAAATTACATAAATTTTGTATTTTGCTTTATTTGGATCAAGATGTACTTAGCGATGTTTGTTTCCTATTTAAATCTTGCAAAAATGTGTGGAAAAGACCCCACAAATTGAGAAGTATATTTATTCTTTTCCCAATTTTGTAATATATGAGGCACTTCATGAAGGCAGACAGAGTTGCTTAGTCTGTCTGGGTCTTGTGTTTCCGTTGGCAATTAAGCAGTCGTCAGTACAGAAAGCAGTTTACTGCAAGGAGGGCTGATGTCACCACCAGGGATTGGTGCTTGAACAGGGAAACGAGCAGCAGGAGCAATTGAAATACCTACAAAATAATGATCCTCCTTGTCATGCAGGTATTCCATTTTTGTATAGTGTGTCTTGAGAATTCAAAAAGAAATTGAAAGGGGAATGCAGATACAATGAACAAAAATGAAATATTCTCTTTAAATCATGCTGCAGTTTCTGTTTTTTGTGAAGTCTCTGCTTATACAAATATATGCTGCCAAAAAGCTCAGTTTAGTGGGAAGTTTGTTTAGGTTCAGAAGAAAGTAATAAACATTTTTTGAAGCACAACTGTCAGGAAAGAAGTTGACTTGACTAGTTGTTTATAGGATTGACTTTTTAATTACATTTTGAAAAGTCCACACTGAAAATAGCTGCAGTAGTTTTTACACTGTTCTGTGCTGTGTGAGCAGTGTAGATTTCCTACAGGTGTAAAGTAGGATGTGGTAATGACAGATTAAGCACATTACTGGATTTTTGGTTGGTTGGTTTGGGGTTTTTTTTTTTTGTACCTACCCTGCCATTTTGGAATTCTCATCTACTTGATATTTTTAGCAGTGAAAATAAAAAAAACATATTGTTATGGATTTCCTTGTCTATATTTAATTTATAAATGATCACATTTTCTGTATTTCTGTTTTGTTGATTGTTAGCTCTTGCGGTAAAACCAAAAACATTGTAACTTGAAGGAGTAAGGCAGGCAGCCCGTTAGGTCTTAAGCAGAGTACAGAAACATAAGTACTAATCTTTGCTTGAGGACTTTCCCAAGCTTTCTTAACACATTAAATAAAACTAGCCATTTTAGAGAGCATTTGAATTAAATAGCCAAATTCTGCTTTTTTAGGTGTTGTTCCATGTTCTGAGGGTGATGTTTTATCCAATAAGGTGCTGACAACCTTACAGAACTTCACCTTGTGGTTTTTCATTGCAGCTGGTTACTGGCAACACACAATGACTAATATTTTTCACTGAAAGACTTCCGTTGAAAAAGCATCTGCAAAGTGCTCTTGCTTATAAAATATTAAAGAAGAGACAACCCCCCCCAAGAAATGTTTACATTGTAGCAAAGAATGCACTAAATACATAGATTTGTTTTTATAAGCTCTAAGCAGTTGTTGACTTGCTTTTTCTAGCGACTGTGATATTGCTAGCAGTATGAATGTGCTGTTTTTGTAAAATACCAGTTCACCTGGTGAGTCAAAGACTATTGAAGAACTAGACTTTTTTCAGTTCAAAGGAAAGTTACTAAATTACTGAAAAAATTAAGGCAGAACCAGAATCTGGGTACTTCAGTGGTATTTCTCAGTGGCTTAAAATAAAAATCCGAGGAAGTGGTGGAGGGAGAAGTACAGAATGATGCTGCTGCATACTTTTTTTTCTTCCCCTCTGGTAACTGAAGGTTAAATGAGTAGCAAGCAGAATGCCTTAAACAAGATTGGTATATTGATTAAAACGCTGATTTAACAGCTCGCTTTCTCCCTTTGGAAACCTGGAAAAGATAAGCCAGCTGCTGTCTAAGAGTGCTGAATGTCCACTGAGAGTACACTATCTATCATCACAATATGGTGATGAGAGGTGTTTTATGTTTGTGTTAATTTCCCCCACTAAATCAGTAATTATTACAATCCTGTCCCTGCTGTTTACCCTGCAGCTGTTTTTCCATTTGTCGAGAGAGCGGGTGTTCTCAGAGGACCGCACACGCTTCTATGGTGCAGAAATTGTCTCTGCCCTGGACTATCTGCATTCTGGGAAGATTGTGTACCGTGATCTCAAGGTAAAAAAAGAAAAAAAAAAAGTAATCAAATTTTTGTTTTTGCAGAGACTATTGGGACAAACACAAAGTAATTATAAAGTTGCACTATTCAGAGTTAATGGAGAAAAAAATCTGTGTTCAGTTTAAAGTTCTGTGTGTGCTGAAGGAAGCTGTTTGATACAGTAGTCTATAGACGGGTACATTACTTGACTTTAACTTGGTTAAAAAAAAGAAACTGCATACCTTAGTAATAACACTTGAAGGAGATTTAAACTTCTGATCCTTTTTTTTTTTCCCCATTACTTATAACTTAACTTGGACTTCAACATGAATCTCAAATACAATTCTCAGTGTCCCCAAAGAAGGGAAATGGGGAATTGGGAGAATGTGACTGCCTTTTGTTTATCTCACCAAAGAGTTATGTTCTTGTATGATTGGAAAACATTTAAAACAATTCAGAATACTTCAATAGGAAAAGAATTTCAGCCTTGATTTAAAAATTACTTTGTCTTTTGTATCTTGGGAAAGATTCATAATGCTGGAATGTAGTTTGTTGTAGATTTGTCTGCTTATACAGTTGTGTATCCTCTGTTGCCTGAAGCTCCAGGTACTCTGTGACACAGTATGACCATGTTCTATGGAAAAAACCTCTGCTTGCAACAGCAACATTTTCTAACTTATGTGGGAGGAACCTCTAAATTCTATGACAAGACTATTTTATTTCTGTGACAAGCCTTTAATTTCTCGTACAGGAAACTGTGCTTTCCTATTATACATGTGCACTAGTGGGGTTCATTCATGGACTCCTTTGTACAGGAACCGAGGAGAAAGAGGCAATGGTAGGCAAGTTCTGCTCAGGGAGGCAGACAGAAAACAAAATACTGGCTTACCTGTTTGTAGCAGAATCTGTTGTAATAACATGAAATGCTGTGACATCTTGGAAAAATATGGAATTGTCTGGTCAAGGAATGATAGGTCATGATTTTTTATTTAAATTCTAAATAATAAGGAAAGAGGAATTTGACGTCATTAATCTTCTATTGCTAGTGTCATCTACTTTGCATCTTCTTTGTATGATAATGTTAGACTCAACAGGAAATACATACCTTCGAGTTGTATTTCAGGCTTTATGCAGACTTAGGAAGGCAGGGCTATGATTGTTCTTTGTTGGTATTTTCACTACGCACCTTATAATTGGGAAAAAAAAAACCTTTTTGTGTTGAGAAAAGTTGTTCAGAAGTATGTTTTACTTGTTTTTAGTTCTATCTGTATTTAAAGTATTGCTAATAAAAAGCTTTTGCGAAAGTGGTGTTAGCCGTGCTTTTGAGATAGTCCACGGTAAATATTGCAGTAGTTTTTATTCCTGTTCATTAAATACTTCATAACAGGCTATATTCTGTTTTCACATTTCAAAACAAGAATCGTGTATTTAAAAAGCAATGCAAAAAGCAAAGCAATGCATGCAGAGGTACAGATAACACAATTCAAGAACAGTGTTCTTTGCAAGTATACAAGGAGGAATTTACCTCAGGGTTTTGTTTTTATCAGTAGCCTCTCTACCCCCACTTTTGTCTGTTATTGAAAAGGTTGTGGAAGATGCAGATATTTTAAGGATTTACGGATATATACTGTTTCATGACAGTATAGTAAGTAAAATGCATCTTGATAAATGTAGGTCATGTTACAGCAAAAGAAACCTTACCAAATGACAGCGATGGTTGTAAACTTGAATTACTTGATTATATCTTGAGAATATTTAGAAAATTATTTTGCTTGTGTTCTGTGGAAGATGCACCAAACTTGTAAAACTTCAGAATGAAAGGTCACGTTTTGATTGACCTGGGATTTATTGTAAACTGTATTAAAGTGTTAAATAATTTTATAACACTGTTAAATGCTGTACTATAATAGATGCTGTCATTTTTTTTTTTAAATTACAAACAAATCACATTCTATTGTAAGCAATAACTCTGTATCTTTTTTACAAAATTAATACAACGCATCTGTCTGTCCTGTTAAGAAATACTAAGGGAGCATTTTTTTCCCCAACACACAGTTAGAAAATCTCATGTTGGATAAAGATGGACACATAAAAATTACAGATTTTGGACTTTGCAAAGAAGGAATCACAGACGCAGCAACTATGAAAACATTCTGTGGTACTCCAGAATACCTGGCACCTGAGGTATGATTTAGATTATATTCTTGTAATACAGTATAAAATATTTCTTTTTCATTTAATTTTAGACTGTGATGTTTGTATGCTGAAAACTGTTCATGGTAGTAAAGAACTGACAGTCTGCCTAATTAATACTATGCAGTTGTTATTCAGAATTGTATGTGCTACTATTCTTTGTGGTGATTGTATGTATATTGATGCTGTGCTGCTTAGTGTTTAAAAAGGCCTCTAACGTGCATTTTCCTTCTCATGTTTGCCTTCCTCTGTTAAAGTTTTTATCTTCCAATGATTTCTTCAAAAATAATCTGCCATCTGTCTTTCACTTGGAACATATGATCCTGCTTAACTGAGCTGTATAACTAGCGTTTATATAGCCTCAGTGGAGGCGAGGGGGAATAGGAAGGTACTGAGTTTGCTGGGTTTTATCTGAACTCCCCAGTTGCAGGGAGGGGGAGTTGAAATTCTAGATATTTCTGCTAAAAACAGTTGAGTGTGTCAACCTCAGAACTGGTTGAAGTGGGCACCAAAACTTAGCTGTCTCCTAGTATGCAAGCAGAAATGGCATCCCAGAGTATGGGATCTTTACCATTAGCTAGCACTCAGAGTGCCAAACATCACACTTCTCAAGGATTGATAAAAAGATGGACACGAGGACATTGTTTTGGTTCTCTTCGCAGCTCTAGTTTGGCCACTTGAGAATCTGTTGTGGAAAGCTCAAGTCACCCGAATGATCTGCTCCAGCATTAGTGCTGACAGCTCTGCCACTGATGCCTACTAAAAAAAACGCAAGGGAAGCACTCTCAAAATTGTGTTTTTGTCCTGTCTGGCTTCAGTCAACAGTACTGATTGTGGTGCTCGGAAATGTCGTTCTGCCTCTCCCCGGCGTTGCCAAACGCTACTCCAGTATTGACATGAAAGACAGCATTATTTTTTTACTTAATGCCAAGGATTCTGTGGATGCTGAATTAGCCCTTATTTCCATTCTTGTCAGCATTCAAGATTGCTAATTGACATAGTACACACCTGATACTGAGACAACTTTCTAATCAACTTAAAGGGCTTTACAAGGCCCTTCAGTCCTACCATTTGTTTTAAGAAGGATTCTTCAAGGGATTCCCCACCTCTTGCAGCAGCTCAGCACCACCAGACAGTCTCTGTTATGTATCGTCTTTGAAGAAGAATGTGCCTTAGTTTGAAGGGAGGAGGTGAGGAGGCACTGATTCAGCATAGCTCTTTACCCTCTTAATTTCGGGGGTATTGAATCCTGAGTAGCAGCAACAAGCCTGGAGCCTATTTCAACAGCAAGTTTAGATTGCCTTTCATTTTTTATTCTGAACCTTACAATTAAGGGATGTCAAGGAAACTCGTATGCATCACCTTCTGGATACCGCTGGCTGGAAATGAAGATTTTAGGTTTGCAAGTTTGAGAGTTTCTAAATCTCTTAAAGCAAATTTAAAGTCTCCAATTTGCACTCAGGGAGGAAATTGAAACTGCTAATACTTGGTTATAAGTTAATATGGTATGTAGAGTTAATGAAACCATTTTGGATCATAGCAAGATCTTTTGATACATTCTTTTTCTCCAACTATAAAGGAAACATCACTATTCTTAGGAGCCACTAACTTTCTTTTCATCCATCTGGTTCCATCTTTCTTGATTCTTTCAGCAGCGAAGAGAAATCTGAGCAGTCATGCTCTCACACTGCATGTTTGAAGTACCTAAATAATTTTCGTTGGTTAAGTGTGTTCGTTTCAGCTGTTTGGTGAGTCACCAGCTGCTCTAGCTATGAAGACAAACTCACTGATACCTGGTCTCCTTTGCAGAATCCCATCCCGTAGTTTCCAAGGGAGACTTGGATGCAGATTGTTGCTATCCTGTTTGGCAGTTTCTGACATCTTCTTTGTGTTTAGTGCAGGGACACTCAGCAGTTACCTACATTTAAGGATTCCAGAACTGTTCTTAGCCTGCTTTGAATCTTTTATGGCTACTTAGAAGAAGTTGCAGATCCACCTGTTTGGCTTGGTACAGTGGCCACTTTCCTTGTGTTCCACACTCAGAATCTGTTCCAGCAACAAGAAGAACGCAAGGGATGATACTGTCATCACTGGCATAGACTACAGATGTCATTGCCAGCTCTTATCCCTTCATTGTCTTCTCTTACGCAGTCTTAAAAACATTCTCAAAGAGTGCAAATATCCCGTTCAGTTGCTTTCATCTGCTTCTCCGTCTCTCACTTTTGGAAACATGTTATCTCTCTTCCATTGAACTTGGTAAGGGATCATTCTGGGTTTTAGACACTTACCACAAGTTACTTGATCCAGTTTGCCTTTCTGTTCTCTAGCAGTCCCACTCCTCTCCTCCGTCTCCCATTATGAGTATTTTTGGAGACCCACCCTGTACAAATCTGTCTTGAAGAAAATTGACTCTTCCGTAACGCTGGGGACCACAGAACTTACTCCCTTTTACCCCAGAGATAAAGGGTTTAGAGCGAGAAACTTAAATGGGTTACTGATATGGCATAAGACGACTCAACACCTTTATCCACACATTCTTATTTAAAAGGGTGAAGTTAGCTGTATATGGACACTGTTGCGAAAAAAAACCACCTTTCCCTTTATACTCTCTGTTGCTACAATAGTGTTTACCAGTGCATTGGCTGGATAGCTGCTCACCTGAGATAATTGTATCTATTTTTATACCTGGGACAGCTGACTGATACAGGGACTGTCAAGAGACTGGCTCCTTCAGTCTATTCATGTGCATGTGTCAGAGAATGAATGCGCAGAAATCACTTCTCGTTGCAGTTCAGGCCACAGAAATCATTACCAGATGCCAAAGACTTACTATCTTTTGAGAAATTGCAGATCATGACAACCTAATGTTACAGCTGGGCTTTAATCCTGTTACCACGGTGAATTCCTGCTTGTTTATCCCAGGACAAGTGGCAGCATATACTTAATGTTTTGCCTGGTCGTGGTAAGTGTAAAGGCAGATACCTTTTAGCCTTTCTTTAGAAGCAAGATATTCTCCAGTTATGTGGAGAAATCCATTCAGCATCTGTCCTTTTAGTAATACCCTTGCATCCTCCTCTTTCATGTAGGTCAGTTGTGATGGGTGCATCTCTTCTGCAGGCCTTTTGGTTCAGTTTCCCATGTACTTGTTGGCTGGTGGTAGAGGACTCTAGGGTGGTGTACTGTGTAACACGCAGGGGTAGGTTGACGTTGCTGTCTACCAGCCAGGAAGCTGTTGACCCAGGAACCTTGCGCTGGCAGGAATCTATACCTAGCCTGGGAACTGACTTAATATTTTCTTTTGTATTAATTCAGTGTTGTGGATTCAGTTCCAAACAAGAACTTCAGCTTGGTTCTCCGAACGCTTTTTGGACCATTTTTTGAGGCATAGAGTCCTGCTCGCTATTCCATCTTTTTGCAAAAACTAGATTGCAGTTGCTTCCAACAGGAAACCAGGGAAGTAGCTAAGCTAGAATAAGGTGAATTTCCTCCTTGCATGGCATTCTCTCAGGTGAAGGTGTCCTTGTGGATCCGTACAGAATTGTTTCCCAAGGTGATTTCAGAATTACTCTTAATCAGAAAATAAGCATACTTATTGCTGCGTTTTCCCTGCAAACCTTATGTTTCTGAGATCAAAGTAGTCCTTCCCACCCTCTGTTGAAAAGGCTCTTTCATCTCACATTGATACAGCCTGACCTTTCATATAGGACCTGAGACTGACTGTGCTGATATCTGGCAGATCCATAAAAATGCCCCTGTCCATGCAAAGATCAAATGGATGGTGGGCCACAGGAAAAAAAATGTAATGAGATTGCCAGGTTGGAACCAATTTTCATCTTTGGAGCTAGAATTACTTTTCTGGACCACCACTGATTTATTGTTCGTGGCACCCACCTGGAAGTTTATGCATGCCTTCACCAAGCACTGTGCTGTTACAGGGGTGTGCAGGGCTTCCAGCTAGGTGGTCAACAGGTACATTCCCTTCCTGTTGTCCTCTCCTAGTCCTGCCCTGTTATCCAATGCCAGTATTCTACAGTTTAAAGAAAACTAAAATAGCATTGACTGTGCTTGTCTCACACAGTTATGTGCCAAGCGTAAAAGATGGTGGGGTAAAAATATGTCCTCTAGGAAGAAAATAGTTGCCACTGTCAAATAGCAGGGCTTATATATGTTTACAGTACAGATGTCCATTTTGGTCACAATTATTGAAGAATGAGTAAGTAGCTTTTTATTTGTGAAATTATATAGTCTTTTGAGAATAATTTGGTTATCCGATAAATAGTGAAATTCCTTTATCATCTGGAGTAGAACTAATGCAAACCTTTTTTTTTTTTAAGTGTAGTGGTAATACTTAATATTTTCCTCTGCTCTAAGAATTTGCAGTATTCCCTATTTGAAAGGTATAAAATATTTTATAATTTCTCATTCCTTAGTAGTTTTTCAGGAAGAAAAGACTGTTTCTTAGGAGTCTGTTTCCATTGTTACCCTTCAAAGTAAGCTGTCACATTACAGATCATTGTGGTGTCAGAGAATAAACATAGATCCAATGAGAAAAAGATGAATTGTGACCCCATTTAGGAAACACAGATGTATTCTTGATTTTTTTCAGGAAAAAACCACAAAATGTTTCTTCTGCAGTTTTGCAGTGGCAAAGGCAGGACAGGACCATATGTCTTTTCCAGACAGTATCACTTGCTTAATAAAGAAGGAATAAAATTGAGAAAGTACTTGTACTTGTAAATATACCTGTGAGACATTTAAAAACAGTTTGGATTTTGATAGTTTTCAGTTGATCGTCAAGGATCAAAGACCTGCTAATAAAGATACAGACCTTTACAGACTTTCTTTAATAGAACATTCAGGAAATGAAGCTACTTGGGCAGAGAAATAGAAGTTCTTGCAGCTTATATGAGGTTGCAGTTTCTTGTGCTCTGCATTTCAGTTCAAGTTCTTAGGACTAAGTGCACAGTCTTAGTTATAGTAGGGCAGTCACT